TATACATAGAAAACCCAAGAGACTCAGCAAAAGAACTACTGGAACTAATTGAGAGCTTCAGCATAGGTGGCAGGACGTAAGATCAACATCCAAAAATCAGCTGGACTGCTCTACACCAGTAGAGATTGATGAAATAAGGAAACCAGTACCATTTACAATAGCTACCAAAAAATAAAATACTTGGGAATAAATCTTACCAGGGACACAAAAGACCAGTACAAAGAAAACTACAAAAGACTACATCAAGAAACCTTAAGAGATTTCATAAATGGAAGAACATACCATGCTCATGGATAGGAAGATTGAACGTTGTTAAAATGTCAATACTACCCAAAGCAGTCTATACATTCAATGCAATCCCAATCTAGATCCCACCAACATTCTTTAAGGACATGGAATCACATGGAAAGGAAAGAGACCTTGGATAAACAAAGTACTATTGAAGAAGAACAACGAAGTAGGAGGTCACACACTCCCAGATCTCAAAACTACTATACAGCCACAGTAGTCAAAACAGTCTGGTATTGGTACAACCACAGATACACAGACCAGTGGAACATAATCGAGAACCCAGAAATAGATCCATCAACCTATGGTCAGCTGATTTTTTGACAAAGGGCTAAAATCCATTCAATGGGGAAGAGATGGAGTCTTTAACAAATGGTGCTGGCAAAACTAGAGATCCATTTGCAGCAAAATGAAACAAGATCTGTACCTCACACCCATACACAAAAACTAATTCCAGATGGATCAAAGACTTTAATGTGAAACCTAAAACTATAAAGTTACTCAAGGAAAAAATAGGGGCAAATTTAGGGGCCCTCATTTATGGCATAAATAGATTGTCAAGCATAATCCAATATGCACAAACAGCAGAAGATAAACTAGATGAATGGGACCTTCTAAAAATTAAATTTTTATGTGTCTCCAAAGACTTCTCCAAAAGAGAGCCTACAGATTGGGAAAAAAGATTCAGCAATGACTTATCTGACAAGGGACATATCTCCCACATTTATAGAAAACTACAACACCTCAACATCAAAAAGACAAACAATCCAGTTAAAAATGGGCAGGAGATATGAATACACTTCACCAAAGAGGATATTCAGCACATGAAAAAATGTTTGTGATCATTAGCCATTAGAGAGAAGTAAATGAAAACAACGAGACACCATCTTGCCCCAGCACTAACAGCAAAGTTCATCAAGAAAATAACAAATGCTGGTGAGGATGTGGAGAGATTGGGACTCATACATTGCTGGTGGGACTGTAAAATGATACAACCACTGTGGAAAGCGGTATGGAGACTCCTTAAAAAGTTGGAATTAGAAATACCATTTGATTCAGCAATCCATTATTAAGTATACACCCTAAAGAAGTGAAAGCCAGGACAAGAAGTGATATATGCACACCCATGCTAATCACAGCACTATTTACAATATCAAAAAGATGGAAACAACCTGGGTGCCCATTAACAGAAGAAGGATAACCAAACTATGGTACATACACACAACGGAATACTAAGCAACACTAAAGAATAATGTAGAATCAGCAAAACACCACACAATGTGGATGAACTTGGAGGACATTATGCTGAGTGAAATAAGTCAATCACAGACGGACAAATATTGTATTAAGAAGTCAAGGAAAGGCTTATATACAAAAGGAAACTTACTTTGTTGTTTACCAGGGGTAGAAGAGGGGGGAGGAAACACTGCAAAAATGAAAAAAAAAAAAAAAAAACCTACTGGGTAATAGAAGAAATAAATGATATTTAAAAATTTCTTGAATCAAACAAGAAAGAAAACACAATATAGCAAAATCTTTGGGACACAGCAAAAGCAGTGATCAGAGGGCAATTTATAGCAATACATGCAAACATCAAAAAAGAACAGCCAAAATCAACACCTTAATCCAACATCTCCAACAATCAGAAAAAGAGCAGGGAAAAACAAACAAACAAACAAAAAACCTACAATCACCAGAATAAAAGAAATAAAGATTCAAGCAGAAATATATGAAAGAGGAAAATAGAAACAATAAGACTAGAAGTTGGTTCTTTGAAAAGCTTAATAAAATCAACAAACCATTGGCAAATTTAACAAAGGAAAAGAAGGAGAAAAGGCAAATAATACAAATAAGAAATGAAATGAGTAACATCACAATAGAACCAACAAAAATAAAAAGGATAGTATCAGGATACTATGAAAAACTGTACTCCAACATATTTGAAAACATAAAAGAAATGGACATATATCTAGAAACACACTACTTACCTAAACTAACACAGACTGAGGTAGAAAATCTGAATAGACCAGTAGCAAAAGAAGAAATTGAACAGGTCATAAAAAAAGCTACCAAAAAAAAAAGAGTCCTGCAAGGGGCAAGGGTGTAGTCACTTCTTGGTCACAGCCAGCTACTCAGAGGAAGCAAGTTGTTGGATCCGTGGGCTCAGGACCACGGTCGCTGGGGGCATCAAGCTCAACTGGCCTAACATACTACACAAAAACATTGTTCCACATCCTACTTCGGTGAGTAGCAACTGGGATTTTAAAAGCTTGCAAGCAGCCATCTAGATGCAACAATGGGTCTCTCCTTGTCCAGAGCAAAGAAGAATGAAGAAAACCAAAGACACATAGAAACAGTCCAAGTGACTGGTGCACCACGCAATCCTCAGCTTACACAACTATGAAACCCGAAGAACTAGATGGTGTCTGGCTACTACCACTGTCAACCACTCAGAAGGGGATCTATGTAGGAGAGCCTGGATAGAGTGGAAGAACAATGTGGAACAAAACTCAAAATCATAAAAAAACAGGGGACCAGGTTTGCTGGTCTGATAGAGCCTGGTGAAACCCCTGAGACTATTATTGCCTCTAGCTGCCCTTCAGGTCTGGAATTGAACCCACCACTCCTATAGCTTCCAGCCAAACAAAAGACAGGCATATGAGCTGAACATTTACGTTAGGTAGATACATTCCTTGGAGAGATCAATCATGTGAGAATAGAAGGGCTGTGTATGCACAGGGAAACAGCTCTGGGGGCAGGAGTGCATGGAAGAGAAGGACAGAGGGAAGAGGTAACTATGGGGAGGAAGTGGGAAAAGAGCAATTGCATTGTGGGAAATTGCAGTCAACGTCATAAGACAGAGTATATGTGAACTGCTGTATGGAAAAAGAATCTGCTCTGTGAAGTTTCACTCAAATCACAACAAAAATTAAAAAAAAAAAAAGGTCTTTGCCCACAAAGTTTCACTGGAGAATTTTACCAATCATTCAGAGAAGAGTGACACCAATCCTACTCAAACTATTCCAGAACACAGAAAAGGATGGAATCCTCCCAAATTCATTTTATGAAGCAACCATAACCCTGATACCAAAACCAGGCAAAGGCACCACTAGAAAGGAAAACTATAGACCATTATCCCCCATAAATATGGACACATCAACGCCCATGGAAGCAACAGTCAAGAAATCAAATGATACATTGCATTGGGCATATCTGCTGCAAAAGATTTCTTTAAAGTGTTCAAAAGAAAAGATGTCACTTTGAGGAGCAAGGTGTGCCTGATTCAAGCTATGGTATTTTCAGTCGTCTCACATGCATTCAAAAATCAAACAAATAAGGAGAAATATATGTCTTTGAACTATGGTTGTGGTGGTTAAGTTTGTGTGTCAACTTGACTGGTCCTGGTTGAGTGGCTGGGCAGCTGAATGTAGTTACTCCCCATGGTGAGATTGGTAATTAACTCCATGATAGAATCTATTGGAGCAGCTGAGTAGCTGCTTTGGGTATGTGGTCTGCTTCCCATATATAAGAAACAGCTTTGGGAATGATCTCCAGCTTATGGCATGCTTGAACCCTGCATGTAGCCATGTCGTTGTTCAGCAGTCTGCCATGCTCTGCCGACCTTGGGACTTACAATGGACTTGAATTAATGGCCTGCCATGTGGTTTGGTAATATTGGGACTGTGCCATTTTATTTGTCGACCTTGGGCTTGTTAGCCTCAGCAGCCAGTAGCTGCCTGAGTGAAGAGATGCCTCTAGCTTCAGTGGGCCAGGAGCAGGAGGCAGAGCTGAAGCCCAAGGTCAAAGGGCTTTCACACAGCCCCTAGAACCTGGCACTTGGAACTTGTACTTCCAGCCTCCTGAACTATAAGAGAGTCAACTCTTGTTTGTTCAAGCCATCCCATTTGTGGTATTTCTGTTAGAGCAGTACTAGGTAACCAGAACAAAGGTATTGGTGAAGAATATTAAATATATACCATGGACTGCCAGGAGAACAAACAGATCTGTCTAGGAAGAAGTACAACCAGAATGCTCCTTAGGAGTGAGGATGGTGAGATTTCATCTCATGTACTTTGGATATATTGTCAGGAGAGACCAGTCCTTAGAGAAGGACATGCTTGGTAAGTAGAGGGTCAGTGAAGAAGACCACCTCAATGAGATAGATGGCCTGACACAGTAGCTGCAATAAAGGGCTCAAACAGAGCAATGATTGTGAGGATGGTGCAGGACTGGGCACTGTATTGTTCTACACAGGGTTGCTATGAGTCGGAACCAACTTGATGGCTTCTGAAAACAGCAACGAGTAGATCTTTAGGATCTAGAGTGTGATCGCGCTCTTACAATCTTTGGTAACACTGTAAGTGATACGCATCCAGAACAAGGGATGCAGATGTACCACTATACTCAGCAGCAGTCAGACCACACATGGGAGTAAAGAGAATATCTAGGACATGAGGGGTCTGGAAGCAATGTTATGTTCAGAACAGCTAAAGGAACGAGAGATGTTTAATATTAAAACCATTTCATGAAGATGGTAATGAAGATGGGCATTACCATCATCTGCAAATATTCAACAGATACCATGGGGAAGAAGGATTTTGTTTAACCTATGTCAACCACAAGAAAACCAGAAATTGCACCAGTAAATTTAGGTGAAAATGAACTGTTAGGAGAACTTTCTAGCAACTGAACAGAATGTATCCAACACCTACATTTGCCTTTTCAACTTCTCCGATTGCTGTAGTAGCTCTTCTTCATCACCATCTTCATGGTCTTCCTGTGCCAGATGTTCATTACTAGAGTCACTGTGTTCATCCTGTAAAATCAGCACCACACCCAAAGTTAAGCAGAATAAACTGTGTCCTCAACTGAAATAGGACTTATAAACTTCTGTCCAAACACTTCATTCTAGGAAATTGTTTCTGATGAGATGCCAAACTTAGAATTTTCAAGAACTTAGACAAGAAAAAATTGCCGAGGACAGCAATACATGGAGTTCAGATATGGTTATACGGTTCTCTTCATACTCACCTCATCACTAGCAAACTCGCCATTATCATTTGGAACAAGTCGAAAGTCTCCAAATTCCTCCTCTTCAACTTCTTCTTCCCTGAAATGCAAACCAAGAGTCTCTTCAAGAAATTGCAAACAAGGTATCTTGCCTTATATTATTATTATTTTTAACATTTTCTACCATCTAAATGAAAGTATTATAATTTCCTTATTATATAAATATGAGACTCAAACCCACTGTAAAGACTTTCTGAAAATGGGCAGCCATTTAAGATGCAATTATTGGAAACATAGGGAGGAAGTAAGAAGAGTGCCATTACATTGTGGGGATTACAAAAATTCAAAACAAAAACAAAAACTCTGACAGTCTATGAAGCCCCTAAGATGACTACCAGTAAGCCCAGAGAACCTGATTCCAGGATTTTATCAGAAGACTGGGCCTTCCCAAGGCCCTACCGATCATTGTGACTCACCTGTCTGTTGGGAAAGAGCCTGAGCAAAGAGCGAGTGCTTCCTCCATTGGGTCACCTGTGCTGCTCTCCTTCTCCTGCTTATTTAACTCTGATGGAGCCAGAGCAGAGGATTCTACGTCACAACAAGAAAAAGATTTGTCATCAAGGTATGACAGCTTTTGTCTCTTTTCCCAGCCATCTAAAGGCAAGCCAACTCAATACAGTTCTAAAGTAAGTTGCCAAAAAGAGCCCACCATCCATTCATTTAACAAATCCTTACTTAGTACTATGTGACAGGTACCATGGAAGCAGTAGTGAACAAAACAAAAAAGCCCTCATACAGCTTACATTCTAGCAGGTGTGGGTGTGGGGCACAGGTAGAAACAATAAATTAGTATTTATATGAAACTTACTATGCACCCGATACTGTACTTACTTTTACACATACATTGACCATAAATGAAAAATCACGTGGCCAAAGCTAAGGCAGTCTTAAGTTAACACTTTATCCCACTAAGAAAATGAGAGTTCTAAATGCCAGGGAGCTAGGAGTGAATTTAACCTATATGCAGATTCCATGTGTTTTCTGACAGCCTTTCACCTGAGAGTAAAAGGGCTTCTTTTCAGGACAATGACTTAAGGTACTTAGCTGTGGTGAACCTGGTGTTCTCTTGGATATTTACCCTGAGAAGTGAATTTTCCTGAACAAAGATTCAGAAGCTCCTCCATGTTCTCTTTCTTGTCATTCTTCCTGGATAGAGGTTTTTCAGCCTGAGATGTGAACTTCCCAGTACACAAATCCAACAGCTCATCCATGTTAGCGTCCATTGCATTCTCATCCATACTGGCCAGTGGCAGTCGAGGCTTCAAAGACTGGTACTGATTCCTGTGGTTCCTAACATTTAAGAACCTACAAGCACCATGAGTAGGGTAAGAACTTCTTCAGGCAAGAAGCAAAGTAGTGGGGGAGAACTCTGACCTCGTTTTTAATACCAAAGTTAGAAGTTGAATCCAAAACCAAAAAAATGAAAGATTCAAATTTTAGACTGGTGATAATCTAGTGGGGGGAGGGTAGGTGGGTTAGAAGAAAGGATAAATGCTATTTAAAAGGTAAAGGATCATCTCTGGTTTCAGATGACGCCAGAAGTTGAACAATTAGCCTGAGACTGCAGTAGGACTACTGACCTCAAACCAACCAGACTGCCCAGCTCAGACATTGCTTTCTTCCTCCTCTGTTGTTGTTGTTGTTATGTGCAGTTGAGTTGGGCCTGACTCATAGCGACCCCTCCTTGGGTTTCTGAGGCAGTATCACTACGGAAGTAGATTGCCCAACCTTCCTTCCAAGGAGTGGCTGGTGGGTTTGAACCACCCGCCCTCTGATTAGCAGTCAAGTGCCTTAGGCACTACGCTACCACAGCTCCTCTTCCTCATCTACTAAGTTAAATATTAACTACCTCTTTCAAGTGACCCCAGTATCCAAACAAGAAAGCTTTTCTTTTTGTCTCATACCCAGCAATCCTATTACCTACCTTCCTTAGGAGAAAACAATACTGTGGAATAAGGGCAAGAGAACCTTCTACAAATACTCTCATTAATGTAGAATGAAATGAACTAAGGAAGGTCTCTGCTGAGAAATTTTTCCAGACCTTAACCAGGTCTAGGTTAAGACTGCTTTTTATTGTGAGAAGAGAAACATAAATAAACAATAAACAAAGCTAAGAGTCCCTGTTAGTACAAAGCCATTGCAACATTAGCATTGCTGTTGTTGTTGTTATTTGCCATCGAGTCAGACCTGACTCATAGCGACCCCTCCTTGGGTTTCTGAGGTGGTAACACTACAGAAGTAGATTGCCCAACCTTCCTTCTGAGGAGTGGCTGGTCGGTTTGAACTGCCAGCCTTCTGGTTAGCAGTCAAGTGCCTTAGGTCCTACGCTACCAGAGCTTCTTAATATTAGCATTATATATAAATAGGAGAAATCAAAGCTATGGCTCTTGGTTTTATGTCCATGCAGTGTGGCATAGGTCTGTCAATTCTCAACTCAACACAACAATCGTAACATAGTAGGATAGATACAAGGAAATCTGATGTCCTTACAATACAAGATCTATGCATTTCAAATAAGGCAGACATTGAAGGATCACGATGCCAGCAAGTGCTATTTACGTTTTATTTTCTGGAGACTTTGTTCAAACTTGTAGAATGTAATACTAATCGTCTATATACCTTCTCTTTCTCAGAAGAGAAAGCACAGATGGAGTAACAGAAGCTCACTTTATTTTTAACCGAAATTAAGCAGCACCCAGCACCATTCCCACCCACAGAAACATAAAACTACCTACCCATCTGCATCCAACAGTTGGCTCTGAGTGTCATCTTCTAAACAGAACTGGAAGTCTCCTGCTCCTAGGAAAAGTGTCTTAGGCTCTGGGGAGGCGTTATACAGATCCTGGGAATCCTCTATGGGAAGTGAAGGCTCAGACAGCTTCCCTGAACTCTGGCACCAAAACAAAACCAAACAAAAATGAAACATTTTACAAATGTCATTCACTCTCATGACAACAACAGAAGTTACTATTTGCAACATTTCTTTTACTCTCAGGGAACTGCAGTTGAGGAGGACAATGCATAGCTAAGAGTAGCATAAAGAAGACTACCTCCAAGAAAGTAAGTGCCCCGGATAAAGCTTGTTTTTAATACACAAAGGGGGTGGATTTTTCAAACTGAACATACATAAGCTCAGAGCCACTGTGGTGGGAGTTGGTTGGCTTAGACACACTTTATTTAACAGTGTGGGAAGCAAAAGGAGGAGGAGATTAGAAAATCATTACCAGGTTACCTTAGAAGCTGAGCTGACCAAACTGGCTCGAAACAGGCCAGGGGAAGGCGATCTGAATCCTCCTGCCGTAGGGAAGACACTGGTGCCCCGGCCCACTTGTCTGTTACAGGGCTGATAGGATGGAATTGTGGAGCCAATCAACTCAAAGCTGCTATTGTGGCTGCTCTCCTTTGTCAGCAATGAACATGAATCATCTTCATCTAAAGCGAGAGAAATAACTTTTATGTGAGTGATTCCAAAAATGAGGTGGATGTGTTTAGGATAAATAGTTGATAATGAAACTGTCAGGTAAAATTCATAGGCAAACCCCTCAAATTTTACATTCTAAAACATTAAGTTAAAGGTAAATTATAGTACTAAGACGGCATTATACAATCAGAGTTTATCCTGAGCTAAATGACACCTGGAAGTTCCCTTCTTTCTCTAACTGGCTAATGCCTTTGACTACCTTCTCCACTATCTAGTCAATTATGTACCTTCCTTTGATCTACAAGTGATAGAAACATTTCATGGTTCACTCAACCAACACACACTCACGAAGGATTGACTATGTGCCCATGATCAACTATAAAGAAACTGCATGTAAGGTTTTAAAAAACAGATCAAGAAATTTTTCCAATTCTTAAATTCCTATCATTGCCACATGTTGAGACTAGAATGTTACCAGGATTCAAAACAATGGAATCTCATGGAACTAGAGTTAAGTATCAAAACTGGTGGACAAGAGAAAAGTCAAGTTCTACATAAGAGTCACTACTCACCTAGTTTGCTAAGCTTTTTGTCTGAATTTTCACCTGTTTCTGACTTTTCTTCAGAAGCAAAGTAACTACAAAATAAGAAAGTACAGTGTTTTGAATATCTGCTCCTGCTTCTAACCATAAGAACAAATCCAAGGGAATCTTACTCTTCCTTAGATAAAATTCACTTACCCCATCTTAGAAGAGTTGTCCTTAAATAGAAGTAAGGTAGAATCTGATGAGAGAGGCTTGGGGACAGAGAGAAGGCCAACTGACTTGCCACTTCCACGACTTCCATCATTGTTTTCTTTATCTATTTCTTTCTCATCTTTGGTTTCTATTTCTTCACTATCAAGAAGGAATTCTGCAATCTTTAGCAATTACACCACCGAAAATAAAATAATACAAGTCAAAGATATGTACAGTCACATACTGTTAGTTTGAAATACAGATACTTGATTATAGGTCACATCTTAAACCTGAAAAGGTAAACCTGAAGGAAGTTTCTGACCCTTGTCATCGACATAATTTTCCACATAACTTCTAGAGCTCTTCTATACTTTTACCCTCCCAAAACTGTTATAAGGTTATAAAGGAAGATGGATTATCATTTTATTGAAGCAATAAGAAGTTGAACAATTAGTCTGAGACTGCAGTAGGACTACTGACCTCAAACCAACCAGACTGTTCAGCTCAGACACTGCTTTCTTCCTCCTCTACTTGGGGTTAAATATTAACTACCTTTTTCAAGTGACCCCAGTATCCAAATAAGAAAGCTTTTCTTTTTCTCTCACACCCAGCAATCCTATTACCTATCTTCCTTAGGCAGAAAACACTACTATGGAATAAGGGCAGGAGAACCTTCTACAAATACTCTCATTAATGCAGAATGAAATGAACTAAGGAAGAAATTTTCCCAAACCTTAACCAAGTCAAAGTTAAGAGTACTTTTTATTGTGAGAAGAGAAACATAAACAAACAATAGACAAAGCTAAAAGTCTCTGTTAGTACAAAGCCATTGCAATATTAGCATTATATTAAAATATATAAACTAGTAAGAGAAGTCAAGGCTATGGCTCTGGGAACTTTAGGTGTTTGATGGTACTCACAGAACTGACTGCACTAAGATCTAGGCACATAGGAGGTAGCTACCTTCATCTCCACCCACAAAATCTTTTACGCAATCAAATATGTTTATTCTACTCTTAAGGAGTCCTGCTAGCACAGCGGTTAAACATTCAGCTGCTAACCAAAAGGTTGGCAGTTTGAACCTACCAGCCACTCTACAGAACAAAGATGTGGCAGTCTGCTTTTGTAAATATTACAGCACCGGAAACCCGAAGGGGCAGTTCTACTCTGACATACAGGGTCGCCATAAGTCAGATCGACTCATAGCAACCTCTATGAGTATTCTACTCTTGTTCAAATCTGACTGTCTTTTTCCCTATTTATCATGACTTAGGAACAGATATTATAAAGGTAACTAAATAATACAATTGCCAGAGACCTCCTGATTGCCTTCCTCCTCCTCTTCCTTCTCCTCATCCTCTAGTTCTTCCTCTTCCTCCTCCACCTCTTCTCCATCTTCCTCAGATTCATCTGTCATTTCTTCCTCCTCCTCTTCCTCTTCCTCAAAGCCATCTTCATTATCCAATTTAAACAATGCTTGGCGCTTTTGACGCTCTTCAAGTCTCCTGAGTTTCATTGCTTCTTGCAGTTTAGCCTTCAGCACTTGAAGCTTTTCACCTGAGCAGGAATATGCAGAAATGCATTAGACACAATCATAGACTATATACAACAATAATGTAAGTATGTATTTAAGGCAACTCCAGAAGTCTTCCAGTCATGTCCAACCCTAAAAATTAGAGACTTTAGTACTCTCAGCTTTTGTTATTTTAACAAATGGGGATTATTAAGAATTGACATGCAGAAGAGAACTCCTATAATTAATGCCCTACACCCTGGCATAACATGCTACTCAGATAATAAAATTATTGTAACAAAGGACAAAAATAATGGAGAAGAGGCTTCAAAAGTCTCTGGCTCAGAGCCATAAAGGAAAACATCGATAAATTTATCCACATTAAAGAAAAAGAGCAACAACTCAAAAGTAAAATGGACAAAGAAAATGAACTGGTAGTTCACAGAAAAATAAATACATGTTAATAAATAAATGACAAATATTAGCCTCATTTTTGATTTAAGAAATGTAAATCAAAACAACGAGATACTATTTTCCACCCATTAGTTTGGCAAAAATTAGAAGATTTAATAATATCCATTACAAGAGGAAAAGGAACATAGGAAGACTTACATACCGATTTAGAGTATAAATTGGTGCAACCTGTTTTTTTTTAAGCTTTAACAAACAGGTAATTATTTTCTCACAGTTTAGGAGGCTACAAGTTTGAATCCAGGGTGCCCCTCTAGAAGAAGCTTTCTCCCTCTGTCGGCTCTGGAGGAGAGTCCTCGTCTCCTCTCAGCCATGGCTCCTCGGTGATCTTCATGTGGCATGGCATGTCTTTCCCCATCTTTGGTTTTTTATATCTCAGAGGAGACTGATTCAAGGCATACCCTATACTATTACTGCCTCATTAATATAACAAAGAAAACTCATTCCCAAATGGATTATAACCACAGGTACAGGGGTTCGGATTTCCAACACACATTTTTTGGGGAGGACCTAATTTAATCCCTAACACCACACTATGCCCTGGGAATCAGCTAACACATGAAGTTCTTCTACTCTACCCTGTACCATCATCACCCCTTCCCAAGCCTGTTCCTCTTGGCTATGATTTCTTGGCTCACTATCTCTTTAGTATCTCGGAGACTGCTTAATGTCTTTCAGCCTGGAGTTGAAATGAGCAAACTAAAGCCTTCCAAAACTAGCTCTTGCCCTTCATGGTCAAATTAGCCTCTGCTCTATCTCCCACAGACATCCGGTCATCCTCCTTACCATGGGGCACCCCCCCAGACACATCAACACACATGTAACAGGCACCTCACGTGGGCCAAGAATAGTGTCACAAGCTACAGACACAAGAATGAATCAGCTAATTCCTGTTAAAGGGAAAAGGAGACATTTTATCAGTATGCTTGTTATTAAAGGGGTATGAGGTTAAGTATTTAGAAGGTATTTGAAGGAGGGCTCACTCTGCTACTAACTAATAAAAGGTTGGATATTTTAGTCCACTGAGTGATGCAACCTTTTTGAAGGACAATTTGATGATACATATCAAAATCTGATTCAACGATTACACTGCTAGGAATTTTCCATCCAGGTATACCAATATATATAGGTACTAGGATACAACATTATATGAAACAGTCAAAAAGAGGAACAAACAAAATCCATCAAAAGGAGTATGATTAAAATATCATTTTATATCCATACAATGGAACATTAAACAGCTGTTAAAAATACTCAAAAGCAATATAGTAAGGTTTTTAAGTATCTGATCTCTGGAGTGAAGTGATCTGGTCCTACCATTTACTAGCTATGTAGCTTAAACAAGTTGTTTAAGTTTCCTCGTACATAAAATGAGGATTTTAATATTATCTACTTCATAGGGTTGTGAGGATTAATTGAGATAACACATGTAAAGCACCTAGAACAGTGCCTGGCAGAAAGTGTTTAATGTTATATACTAACACACACACATATATGCATGTAAGTTTTCTTAGAAAGACACTCAAGAAATTATTAATAGTTACCTTTGGGAAGACTAACTTTTCATTTTATACCTTTTTTTGGAGGGGGTTGTTTTAATTTTTCTTATGTAATATATTCCTTGTATTTTCAGTGTTGGGGATACAAGGGATAACAGACCCTTCCATAATACATGAAAATGGTTACAGTCTCCGCTAGAGGACTGTGCATTTTTTTTGTTTATTCTATGTATTTTCTGTAATAGATATACATTGCTTTTCATAGTAAGACAAATGTTATTTTAAGAAATCAAGCCATCTTGCCTACCCCACACCTGGAGGCAATGTTACACATGAATCATGCAAGAGGTATTGTAATCCATTTTCCAAAGCTCCAAAGAAAAAGATCCCATAGCTTTTCACCAAAGGGCTTTGCTAGTCAAAAAGACCTGTCAAGGTACACAGCAAAAAGCAAAGAACTGTGGACTCAAATACCTGGCTTGGTGTGGCTTGTCTCATCCAACTTTTCAGCTGCCAAAGTCACAGGTACCACATCTGCCTTTAGCTCTTCCTTTCCATCTATGCCCACGTCTTTCACAATGACATTCACATTCACCTTCTGACTGGCCCTGGGTTTGACTGCTGGATGAGCATGCTTCCAGAAACGCTGCTTCAAAGCTTCCAGTTCTAAACCCAAATGCCAACAAGTTTGTCAGTTTGTGATGCTCAAATTCTTTAAGATTTCAAATAAGAAACTGTTAAGTTTTTTAGCTCAAGAAAGCTGCAGACACACACACAGACAGAAATCAATAGTTCCTTTGCTACTAATGCCTTGAGTCAAATTCACACTTTAACCCATGCTAATAGACTGCTACAACTGTTCTTTCTTGATATTTCAAAAATTCATAGACTTTTTAAACAAATTTACAGTGAAAGTTTCTAAATATGTGTACAACTACTCTTTACTTACAATTTCATAATCTGACATTTCACATTAGGACCATACTAAAAATCTACTACCCGACCACTTTGCACATCAGCAACGTACATCTGGCAGTAATGGATGCCGAGGTATGAGACAAGAGTAATGCTGGCCATGATGATTAAGGTTATGGGTCAGTTTGGCTGGGCCATGATTCTCATGTCATAACTGGTTTGACAGTTATGTAATGATGCAATTTGGCAGTTATATAATGATGTAGTCATCCTCCATTTTCACATAATGCCGATTTTCTCTTAATAATCTGATCTTTGGAACCTAACCATGTTGATAAGTGAGGAGTAGGTATATTAAATCCTGAAAAAAATCCATTAAACTGGTAGAAATAAACACCATAATTTTCAATTATTCAAGGAATTAATTTTTCATAGGTTTCACTCTCTTCTTTATTTCCTATTTTGAATATGTCACTACTTATTAACAATCTTACTAAGTATAGACCAGGTGTAAAAAAATAAAAGGAAAAAAAAAAAAACAATCCAGTCACTACTGCAACTCAGCACCAAGACTGGGAAAAACTTCTCTTGGTGAGAGAAACTGTTATACAAGTACCATCAGAAAAGGAAATCCCACTTACAGGTAGTTCCTGAAACCACAACCCAATGTGTACACAAATGAGAATATATATACTGGGAGAAGTAAGATCAGCAGTCTAATGACCATAGGAACTTCCCCCTCTTCTTCTTCAATACTGTTGTTGTTGTTGTTAAGTGCCGTCAAATTGGACCCAACTCATAGCGACCCCTCCTTGGGTTTCCAAGGCAGTATCACTACAGAAGTAGATTGCCCAACCTTCCTTCTGAGGAGTAGCTGGTGGGTTTGAACCTCCAGCCTCTGGTTAGCAGTCAAGTGCCTTAGGCACTATGCTGCCAGAGAATTTTCTTCTTTCTTCTTCAGCCAGCTGTTGCCTGGCACCATCCCCTACTCTCTCTGCCTCACACATGATACTATAGTGGGATCTGTTCTAAGAGCTGGCAGTTACAAAGAGAAATGAAAGAAAAGGAGAAAAACCTCCTTTGGGACTGAGAGACTTTGAATATTTTTGTGTGGCCTTCTCCTCTTCCATGATAAAATGTCCAGGATATTCCGAGTTTGGTATTTTTCCAAAACACACTTGGAATTATACATGCTTCACAGGCTTTGTGATAAGAAACTATGTGTAGTTTTTCTTTCCCTAGAGGGACTTAGTAGAAAAAGAGAACTGGACAGGAATCTTTTTATCAAGTCCCTAACATTATTAGCAGCAAGAACCGAACTCCAAAGGGTTGCATGTTTACATTACAAACAAGAGTAAGGAGACAAGCTGTAAATCTGCTTCTTATTTTATGGTGGTCCAATCACGTAATGAGGAGCTCTGGTAGTGTAATGGTTAAGGAATTTGGCTGCTAAGCAAAAGGTGGGTGGTTGGAACCCATAAGCCGCTCTGTGGAAGATGAGGCATTCTGCTTCTGTAAAGATTTACAGCCTTGGAACTCAATTGGGGGTCGCTATGAGTCGGAATCAACTTGATAGTAGTCAGTTTGTTTTTTTTGTTTTAGCTGGGTAATGAGGTTAGAAGCAACAGGCGGAGACAGTAGAAAGGAAAAGACTAGGTAGGTCATTATTGGTGGCAGCAGAATAAAAGAAATGGGATGGGTAGGGAGATTAGTCGGGACCTAAAATAATAGGGAGGCAGGAGGTGCCTTGGTTCCTAATTGCAGAAAGTTGGAACCCTCAGAGTTCTTCATCCTCCAACCCACTAGAGTACCCACTCTCCTTGCCCTTTACTACATGATTCAACCATCATTCTTCATCCTAGAATCCCTGTTCAAGTTCCTCTCCTTCCCTCTGTCTTTTCCCTGCACCTCTCGTCAACTCCTTAAGTGAAAAGTCTCTGCCCTAGCTCTATCAGTAGCTTGGATTGAAGATTGTTCTCATTCCAATTGCTCTTAGCCCAGAAAGCACAGGAAAAAAAAGGCTATGGGATTATCTCCCATCCTATGCAGAGAACAAGAATAATATATTTCTGGCACCCCAAATTTTAAATCTACATGCACTTTCTCATAAATCTTAAATGAAGTTAAGAAAATTGAGTTTTTCCAATTGCCTTTCCTCTTAGCCCTTTCCAATGTACTTGCCACACTAGCTACCAGACTGAACTTCCTAAAATGAAAATCTGATTGGCTCACTTCCCTTTTTAAAAATGTTTCAGTGGTCCCCTATTAACAAAAGGCAGAGTTCAAGCTCCCAGTGTTGCCTAAAAGCCTACCTAATCTGGCCTCTGCTCAACCTGGTGTTCTGGTTGCCTAGTGCCGCTCTGACAAGAATATACCACAAATGGGATGGCCTTAACAAACAGGAGTTTATTCTTACAATTTGGAGGCTTTAAGCCCAAGTTCAAAGTGCTCGGCTCTAGGGGCTGGGTGAAAGCCCCTCAACCTTGGGGTCCAGCTCTGCCTCCTGCTCCCGGCCCACTGAAGCTAGAGGCGTTTCTTCACTCAGACAGCTGCTGGCTGCTGAGGCTGTGAAGCCCCATAGTTGACAAGCAAAAAGGCACAGTACCGATGTTACCAAACCACACAGCAGGCCATTAACTTAAGTTCATTTTAAGTCCCAAGGTCAACGGAGCATAGCAGGCTGCTGAGCAAGGACATGGCTACGTGCAGGGTCCAAGCGTGCCATAGGCTAGAACCCCTTCTCAAAGCTTATCCTTATATACAGGAAGCAGACCACATACTCAGCTGCTCCCAGTAGATTCCACCATGGAGTTGATTACCAGTCTCATCATGGGGAATACTACATCCAGCTGCCCTGCTACTCAACCAGGCCTAGCCAAGTTGACATATAAACACAACCATCACACCTGGTCATTAATTCCTCCTCACAGTCTTCACTTCACTCAGTCAGCTTTCTCCTGTCTCTTTACCTTTTGCAGGTCTGTGCCCTCTGCCAAGAAACGTTCCCTCACCTCTCTGCATTGGGGTCTCCTACTCAGCTTTCAGGCCTTAGTTCACTTATCAGCTCCTTTCAGAAGCTTCCCTGACTTCCCAGTTCAAGTGAAGTACCCTCTTCTGGGCTCCCAATGCACCCACCCCAAGAGTATACCTTCACCACAGCACTTACTTGCCAGTATTGTAATGGTCTGTTTGCCTGTCACTCCAACTAGAACTTTAACTGAGAGCTGGGACTATGTCTTACTTGTATATACAGCACCTAACAGTGCTAATTAAAGTTCATTTCATAAATGAATGAGTTGATATTCAGCTTTACATATGTCATGGAATAGGCTTGATCTGGGAACCCAACTTTCATGTCAAATATTATTCCTAAAGGAAAACATGTTCTGCTTTCAAAATAAATGCCTACCACGTGCCAGTGGTTAAGCACTTGGCTGCTAACTGAGAAAGGTCAGCAGTTCAAACCCACCAGCCACTCTGTGGCAGAAAGATGAGGCATTCTGTTCCTATAAAGATTTACAGGCTTGGGAACCCCATGGGTCAGTTCTACTCTGTCCTAGAGGGTCACTCTGAGTTGGAATTGACTCAATGGCAATGGGTTTGGTTATGTGTCAAGCACTATGCTACAGTCTCTGAATAAGCCAAGTATAATGTTAGAGAACATTTGTAAACTAACACCTGGGGTTATGAGAATTAACCCAATGTTAATTCTCACAATAGAATTGACTGTGACTCTTAATGACCCTACAACATAGGGCAGAACTACCCCATAGGGTTTCCAAGGCTGAAATCTTTAGGGAAGCAGACTGCCACATACTTCTCCTGTGGAGCAGGTGGTGCGTTCAAGCCACTGACCTTTTAATGAGCAGCCAAGCATTTAACCACTGCACCATCAAGGCTCCTTATCAGAATTAACAAAGACTAACTAAGAAAGAATCTATCAGTGTCTAGTATATTAGGTATGCTTCTTCCCTTTCCTATTTCTTAGTCTAGAACAATTTAGATAACTTTTAGTTCCAGGTAACAAAACTTTCCCTCAATGTTCTGCAACATCTCATTCTCATGCTTCTTTGCTAAAAGAGCTATGTTATTTCTGTTATACAATCCCTTCTTCCCCACCTCCTGCTCTGGTCAAACCGATTTATACATCCTCCCTATATGTACTATAAACTGCTCTTTCTGTTCTTCCAAGAATGTCCTCTCCACCTCCAAAAAGTTCATCCACTCAACCAACAATGCTTAGTTTACGTACCAGATACTGTGGCTGACATAGAAACTGCCAACAAGAGACTGTTTAAAGAAGGAGTCTTAATGTAAACATTTCACAATAATAGTAGAAATAGTAGCTAAGTGCTTCTTTAGGCTAACCATTTGTATGCATCATTTCAATACATATTCTTCACGATAGTCCTATGAGCCAGATGGTGCTATGCTATTATTTGATCTTTTTATAAAGATGGCTTAGAGAAGTCAAGGAGCTCTGGTAGCATAGTGGCTAAAACACTTGACTGCTAACCAGAAGGCTGACGGTTCAAACCCACCAGCCACTCCTCGGAAGGAAGGTTGGGCAATCCTACTTCTGTAGTGATACTGCCTCAGAAACCCAAGGAGGGGTCGCTATGCGTCAGGGCCGACTCGACGGCACATAACAACAACAACAACAGAGAGGTCAAGTAACATGCCAAAATTAAGTAAGTTAAAAAGTCCAGATTTCAACCTTGTTCTAGCTACAGAGCCTAAGCTTAACCACCATGCCACTGCCTCAACAGAGGAACCAAAAAAAAAAAAAACAAAAAAACCTCAAAACAAACGCACTGCCATCGAGTAGATTCCAACTCACAGCAACCCCTCCTTGGGTTTCTGAGGTGGTATCTCTGCGGAAGTAGATTGCCCAGTCTCCCTTCCGAGGAGTGGCTGGTAGGTTTGAACTGCCAGCCTTCTGGTTAGCAGTCAAATGCCTTAGGCACTATGCCACCAGAGCTCCCAAGGGAGCACCCAACTCTATCCAAGAGAGGCAAAGAAGTTTACCAATATAATACTTGAGGTTAGTCTTGAAGGTTCATTTATTTGTTCATTCATTAACTAAGTGCCTACAATGTGCCATCCACTGTGGCAGTGCTAGACATAAAGTAGGGAATAAAACAGAACAAGATCCCTATTCATAAAGGAGAAGGCAATGAACAAGTAATTACATACACTTACACTTCAAACATCCCTTAAACCACCAATTTGGAGTCCTTGGGTAGTGCAAATGGTTAAGCACTCAGCTGCTAACCAAAAGGTGGGTAGGCCTGAGTCTACCCAGCGATATCTTGGAAGAAAGCCCTGGCAATTGACTTCTGAAAGCTCATCCATTGAAAACCCTGTGGAGCAGTTACACTGTCACACATGGAGCTGCCGTGAGTCAAAATCTACTCGATGGTAAGTGGTTTGGTGTTTTTTTTTTTTTTTTAAGTTTTTTTTTTTTAATTTAAGTAATTTATCCCTTCTTTGACCTTTCCGTAAGACTTTATTCTAAATATTTATTTTAGCAAAGAATACTTTTCCCTTTTCTTCCCATTGTTTAACAGCATCTTGCATACAGGGGACAGTCTAATACTTGTTGAACAAGTGGAGAAAAAAATTCAGTTTTGCAAATTTACTGAACTAACATGGTTTTTAACTCTGACAAAACATTTTTAAGAATATCTTAATAAGATATGACACACACTCTCCCAGAATAGAACAGCAATGCACCTCTTTTGCATATTATCTATCTACAGGCTTCTAATTTAAACAAGGCTTAGATCATTCTGATAGCCTGCCAAATTTATTAAAATGGGATTCTACCTGTCCCTACTACATCTGTAGAATAAGATTATGTGCCAGTCTTGGTTTCTCCTTGTTCCCTGTTCTCCACAATGGCAAATAACTGAAAAATGCCAGGATAAACTGTGAGATTCTCCACAATTCAAAGGATTACCTCTGTTTGTTTCAGGTTCATCAAGTATCACAAAGGATTCTTCATCAGCACCCAGCCGAGGTTTAATGGAAACATTTACTCCCAGTTGCTTAAGTCTATCCAGAGTGAACCGTCTCACTTTTTCAGGTGGCACAGTTGCTGCTGATTTCGTTTGCTGCCCAGGATCTTCCACTTTGCCATCTGCTTCTTCTACTTTTTCCAGGACTTCTCCTCCCTCTAGAGCAAAAGGTTCAGGTGCCACGAGCCCTCCAGCCTGATACTCTTCACCCTCCTTGGTCCCTAGGAAGCTGGGTTCCTTTTGCTCCACTGAACTGCTCCTGGAACCATCAGTTTGCTTCTGTTTCTCCTGAATTTCTAGCTCTTCACTTCCCATCAAATCCTTACAGCAAGACTCATCTAACCCAGCAGTGATGTGGGGTTCCTTTAAAGCTGCAAGGAGTGGATTGATTTCCGCTTCACATTCTGTGCCTATTGCCTGCTCAGAACTTTTGCTATGGGAGTCACTGTTCATTTCAGTTGTATTTGCAGTGGTTATCATTTTTTTGTTATGGCTTGGCTGATACTTAGATGACCTAGAGAAGGGAAAATGAGCTGGAGTTTAAAATCATCCTAAATATGAAACATTCTCTTCCCGTAACACATAATGATAGTTTTAAAGGAATGAAGAATCTGATTTTTATGCCAGATTCATGCTACAAAACCGAATGCTTAATAACATTATAACCACAAGGAAAGCGAGTTCTTACTTTAGCAGGGCCATGGCATTTCCCCGGCAAGTGGGTCGGGGTTTACGTTTGAAGAAATCATGAATGGTTTTATTCTCAGGCATATGATATGGAAGATTAAGTGCAGACTCTGTAATATGGAACAAAACAAGTAAATACAAATATTGCACATTCTGAAATGTCACTTCATAGTCAGCTAACCAAACTGTTAACCAAGACCATTACCAGAAACAGAAAACAATCATCACACTGACAAAGGCAGGAGCTAAGTACAAACGAAGACCTCCTGAAGACCAATGGCTTTTAAACCTGAGGTGAAATCAAAATGACCCAAGAAGCATTTTAAAAGTACAGACACTTGGACCCAATTCCAAATTTATTGAATTAGCCTGCTAAAGGGGCAAGGAGGCCCCATCTTCTGACCTCCCCTAACTCCACAAGGAGGACAGAATCACCATCAGCAGCCCAAGGCCTGTTCCTATGAGGCCAGACATGCTGCCACCCGCCAGCCCTTTCACCAACCCTGACACCAACCATCCCTCCCACGGCACTTTCTACCTCTGTTGGGCTCAACGATTCATTGCGGTGGCCATGCAGAACTCACAGACACCACTCACAGATTATGGGGTTTATTAGGGAAGCAACAGGCTACAACTCAAATTCAGCAACATGCTCAGGATTCAGTTCCTCGTTCAGGACAGTCTCCCCTCTGCCATGCCCTTAGACACACCTCTGTGGCCCTTGGCCTTTTGGCCAGGCCCTCTGCCTCTATGGGCCAAGTATGTCTGTCACTCTATCTCGTGCCTCTTGGTTCCACTGCTGTCATCTCTCAGCTGGGCATCTCTCTTTCAGTAACAGGTCAGATCCTCAGCCAGCAGTGAGAAATATTCCCCCTCTTTGCCTCTGGGAGGGCTCACTTTAAGCCCAGCAGAGTGGCAAAACCAACCAATCCCAACACTAGAATTCCACACACCTGAGAGTGAGTGAACTTCCCAGAAAATCGCTTGTGCTGCTCTCACAATACCCCAGATAGATAACTTTAACTATCAGAAGCTACTTTGTTGCTCATGGCAAATTCCACCATAGAGTTCACAAAGACTGGTAGAAAAGCCACATCATGTAATTTACTATACTGCAAGCTTCTGTTGGGCCTAAGAATTTATATGTTAGAAAAGCTCCTAAGGCACCTGATACAAACAGTCCTTAGACAACCATTAAAAAATACACCATCTCTCCACTATAGTTCTGGAAATATGCTATTTACACTAATGTAAAAAGCATATGTAGATTAGTGTCCATTCACCAAAATCAACTGTAAACTTGATACTATATTCCAAGATGAAGAGTATTAAAAAAAAAAATTCAAATTCAGCTTACAAAAAAATACTGATTTGTCTTAAAGTTTACTGTACGATTTGTGTTACCTCGAATAAGGCGCTGAGTCTCACTATGCAGTTTTCTTAATGCTTCCTTACTTAACTTGGCTGCCTTCCTTTCCTTAAAGAAAACATAAGGGGAGACTATATTAATGGTATTATCCAGAAACACAAATATTCATCCCTCAAAACTCGGCCCTCTCCAAGAAGAGAATGGAGAGGGAACTCATTGAGTCAATTACAACTCATAATGACCCCCACTGGAATTCCAAGGCTGTATCCTTACAGAAGCAGATGGACTCATCTTTCTTTTGCAGAGCAGCTACTGGGTTTCATGATTTTGTTGTTGTTTTTAGGTGCCATCAAGTCAATTCTGACTCATAGCACAACCTATGTATAACAACATGAAATGCTGCCCTATCCTGCTCCACCTTCACAATCCTAGCTATGCTTGAACCCACTGTTGCAGCCACTATGTCAATCCATCTTGCCAAGGGTCTTCCCCATTTTTGTTCACCCTCCACTTTACCAAGAATGATATCCTTTTCCAGGGAATCACCCCTACATGACCAAAGTAGGTGAGACAAAGTCTGGCCATCTCACTTCTAAGGAGCATTCCAGCTTCACTTCTTCTAGAATAAATTTGTTCTTTCTTCTGATAGTCCATAGTATTTTCAGTATTCTTCACCAATATCACAACTCAAAGGCTTCAGTTCTTTGGTCTTCCTTATTCATTGTCCAACTTTCATATGCATATGAAGCAATTGAAAATATCATGGCTTGTGTTACATGCCCCTTAGTCTTCAAAGTGACATCTTTGCCCTTCAACACTTTGAGGTCTTTTGCAGCATACTTTGCCCAGTGCAATACAACATCTGATCTCTTGACTGTTGCTTCCTCAAGTGTTGATTACAGATCCAAGTAAAATGAAATCTTTGACAACTTCAGTATTTTCTCCATTTATCATGATGTTGCTTATTGGTCCAGTTGTAAGGATTTTTGTTTTCTTTATGTTGAGGTGTAATCCATACTGAAGACTAGTCTTTGATCCATCTTCAAGTGCTTCAAGTCATCTGCACTTTCAGCAAGCGAGATATAACCTGTATATCGCAGGTTATTAATGAGTCTTCCTCCAAACCTGAGGGAGCTCTGGTGGTGTAATGCCTAAGGCTCTTGACTGCTAACCAGAAGGCTGGTGGTTCAAACCCACCAGCCACTCCTCGGAAGGAAGATGGGGCAATCTACTTCTGTAGTAATACTGCCTTGGAAACCCAAGGAGGGGTCGCTATGAGTCAGGGCCAACTCAATGGCACATAACAACAACAACCAGTCCTGATGCTATGTTCTTCTTCATATAGTCCAGCTTCTTGAATTATTTGCTCAGCATACAGACTGAATAAATATGGTGAAAGGATAAAACCCCGACACACATCCTTCCTGATTTTAAATCATACAGTATTCCCTTTGTTCTGTTTGAATGACAGTCTCTTGGTCTGTGTACAGGTTCCTCATGAACACAATTAAATGCTCTGGAATTCCCATTCTTTGTAATATTATCCATAATTTGTTATGATCCACACAGTCAAATGCCTTTGCATAGTCAATAAAACACAGGTTAACATTTTTCTGGTATTCTTTGCTCTGAGCCAAGATCCATCTGACATCAGCAATGATATCCCTTGTTCCACATCCTCTTCTGAATCCAACTTGCATTCCTGGAAGTTCCTTGTCAATATACTGCTGCAACCATTTTTTAATTATCTTCAGCAAAATTTTACTTGTGTGTGATATTAATAATATTGTTTGGTAATTTCCACATTTTGTGGGATCACCTTTCTTTGGAATGGACACAAACGTAAATCTCTTCCAGTCAGTTGGCCAGGTCTTCCAAATTTTCTGGCATAGACAAGTAAACACCTCCAGAGCTGCATCCATTTGTTGAAACATCTTAATGGGTATTCTGTCAATTCCTGCAGCCTTGTTTTTTGCTAATTCCTTCAGTGCTTCTTGGACTTCTTCCTTCAGTACCATTGGTTCTTGATCATACGCCACCTTCTGAAATGGATGAACATCGACCAATTCTTTCTGGTACAGTGACTCTGTGTATTCCTTCCATCTTCTTTTGATGCTTCTTATATCATTCAGTATTTTGCCATAGAATTCTTCAATATTGCAATTTGAGGCTTGATTTTTTCCTTCAGTTCTTTCAGCTTGAGAAATGCTAAGAGTGGTCTTCACTTTTGGTTTTCTAATTCCAGGTCTTTGCACATTTCATGATAATACTTTACTATGTCTTCTCAAGCTGCCCTTTGAAATCTTCTGTTCACCTCTTTTATTTCAACATTTCTTCTTTTCACTTTAGCTACTCTCTGTTAAAGAGCAAGTTTCAGAGTCTCTTCTGACATCCATTTTGGTTTTTTCTTCCTTTTCTGTCTTTTTAATAACAATATTTTCTTCATGTAGGATGCTCTTGACATCATTGCACAACTCATCTGATCTTTGGTCACCAATGTTCACTGCATCAAATCTATTCTTCAGATGGTCTCTAAATTCAGGTGGGATATATTCAAGGTCATACTTTGTCTCTCGTGGACTTGCCTTAATTTTCTTCAGCTTCAACTTAGACTTGCATATGAGCAACTGATGGTCCATTCCACAGTCAGCTCCTGGCTTGTTTTGAGTGATGATACTGAGCTTCTCCATTGCCTCTTTCCACAGATGTAGTCAATTTGACTTCTGTGTATTCCATCTGGTAAGGTCCATGTGTATAGTTGCCGTTTGTGTTATTGAAAAAAGGTATTTGCAGGGTGGGAGAGGAGGGGAGGAAACACTACAAAAATGAAAAATAATAATGCTAAAAAAATTAAAAAAGGAAAAAGGTATTTGCAATGAATACATCATTGGTCTTGAAAAACTTTATCATGTGATCTTCAACATCATTTCTATCAGCAAGGCCATATTTTCCAACTACCAACACTCCTTTGTTTCCCACTTTCACATTCCAATCAGCAAGAATCAGTACATCTTGATTGCATGTTTGGTCAATTTCAGACTGCAGAAGTGGTAAAAATATTCAATTTCTTCATCTTTTGCTTTGGTGGTTGGTGTGTAAATTTCAATAATAGTGGTATCAACGGGTCTGCCTTGGAGGTGTGTGATAGTTGAAGCTGTGTGTCAACTTGGCTAGACCACAATTCTGTGTGGTTTAAGCAATTGTGATATGGGTTGTTCCCATGACGGGATCAGATGTATGTTTTGGACAGTCAATCCATTGAAAGGGAGTTTCCCTAGGGGTGTGGCCTGCTTCCAGTGTATTTATGGACATCCTGGGAAAAGAGACACTCTTCTGTGGATTGGGATTCTGTTGTGCTGCCTACAACTATCCATGAGTGAACAATCCACCATTCAGCCTGGAGATCTTGGATTCATCATTCGTTGGAGTCAACAGCCAGTATACTGCCGGCAAACCTTGAGCTCATCAGCCCCTGCAGCTGCATGAGTTGGGAAAAGCCTCCAGCTTGAGGTCTGATCCAAGAACTTGGGACTTGCAGCTTCTGTAAGTATGTGAGCCATTTTCCTAAGATAAATTTCTCTTTCTCTCTATATATACAAACTTTACTGGTTTTGCTTCTCTAGAGAACCCAGTCTGACACAAGGTGTATGGATATTATTCTATCACTGACAGCACTGTACTTTAGGATAGATCTTGAAATGTTCTTTTTGATGATGAAGGCAATGCTATTCCTCATCAATTTGTCATTCCTGGCATAATAGACCATATGACTGTCTGATTCAAAATGGCCAATACCAATCCATTCCAGCTCACTAATGCCTAAGATACAGATCTATATGCATTCCATTTCAATTTTGACAAATTCTAATTACCCCAGATTCATACTCTGTACATTCTATGTTCTGATTACCAATGGATGTTTGTAGCTGTTTCTTCCATTTTGAGTCATGCTCCATCAGCAAATGAAGGTCCAAAAGGTTTACTTCATCCATGTCTAATATTAAGGGTAACTCTACTTTGAGGAGGCTGCACTTTCCCAGTCATATTTTGAGTGCGTTCCCACCTGAGAGGGTCATCTTCCAGCACTATCTATCTCAGACAATGTTTCACAGCTATTTATAAAGTTTTCCAGTAATGTGACAGAGTTTCACTATTCATAAGATTTTCAGTGGCCAATGTTTTCAGAAGTGGATGGCCCCATTCTTCTTCTTAGTCTGTCTTAGACTGGAAGCTCTGCTGAAACCTGTCCACCATGGGTGACCCTGCTGGTATCTGAAATTGGTGGCACAGCCTCCAGGTTCACAGGAACACACAAGCCACCACAGATTGACAGATGAGTAGTGGGGAAAATACTATGATAGACAAGATAAAATACTTAACCCTAGAAGTCCACTATCTCGTGGAGAAAGAGCTCAAGGCTATATGATTGCTACGCAGGGCTTTACCTCACCTTCCTCATGGAGCCTTCTGATAACTCATTTTGTGCTTCAAATGAATAGAAATCACTCTCCAAAGATGGTTCTTGTTTCTAAAAGAGAAAATTGAAAACTAAAGTGAAATAAAATGTTTCTCACTCAAAGACCACTTTTGTACTCCACCGTCATATTATGCCACATTAAAAATAAGTCAATAATTATCAAATAGAAATTTAACAATACACAACATCCTATAATGCCTAGAAGAAAATCACATGTGTCAAAAGAGCTTGAACCTTCATTTCTTATCTGTTTTACATCTTACCCTAAGAAGGGACAATTGTTCTGGTTACCTAGTGCCACTCTGACAAGAATGTACCACAAATGGGATGTCCTTAACAAACAGGAGTTTATTCTCTTACAGTTTGGAGGCTTTAAGTCCAACTTCAAAGTGCCAGGCTCTAGGGGCTGGGTGGAAAGTCCCTCAACCTTGGGGTTCAGCTCTGCCTCCTGCTTCTGGCCCATTGGAGCTAGAGGCTTTTCTTCACTCAGACAGCTGCTAGCTGCTAAGACCAACAAGCCCAAGGCTGACAAATAGAAAGGCACAGTCCTGATGTTACCAAACCACAAGGCAGGCCATTAACTCAAGCCCATTGAAAGTCCCAAGGTTGGCAGAGCATGGCAGGCTGCTGAACAGTGACACGGCTACATGCAGGGTTCAAGCATACCATAAGCTAGAGACCATTTCCTAAGGCTTCTCCTTATATACAGGACCCAGACCACATCCCTAGGGCAGCTACTCAGCTGCTCACAATAGACTCCACCATAGAGTTGATTACTAGTCTCATCATGGGGAATACTACTACATCCAGCTGTTCAGCCTCTCAACCAGGCCCAGCCAAATTGACTCACAAAGTTAACTACCACAGACAATGATTCCCAAAGAAAAATCTTAGGAAGAATAATTATGCTTCTAGACACTCAGGGAAACAATGCCTTGACTGATACTCTCTCTTTGATTCCTTTCTGAAATTCTGCAGGGTTCATTTCTCAGAGCCCATAGGTTGGTAAAATTTATAGCTCTGTCCTATTAACTTGCTTTTTATCACAATAAGGGATCTCCCCCCGGCCCCCCCCCAACATTCCTAAAAGGGCAGTAACAAAATACTAGTTTTCCAAACAAGTTAGCATGTATATTACTTGTACTGCAAGTTTCCAAAATAAACATCTAAAAACTTAAATCAATTGACACGTTTTTCTTAAGTTAAAAAAAAGTTAAGGTCACAACTGTAAATTAAAAAATAACACAAAGGTTAGCACCATATGGTTAGCTCTTTCATCTTTTACTTGCCTTGTGCTTTTTCACTTTGTTTTTCACAGCTGCCCTTATTGATTCTAATGACTCTTCATCGTCCAGTGGAGAGTTATTTTCCTCCTCCAATCCAGTTTCAAAAAGGTCTTTATCCACAAGAAGACAGCCACTGTCATTAAATGGCTGTTTCATATCCTCTTTCTGGATAATGTATAAAGAAAAAATAGAATCCAGCCATTTTAGAATCCATTATTTTAAAACATTATATGGTCATTTAGTTCATGCCAGAAAAAGCATGTATTTCATCAACAGACAAGTATATGGCAATCTAGAACATTCTTAATGGTTCCAGATCTACAATTAGCCTTTATAGTGCAAACTATTATTTTTATCTATTGTCCAAAATCAAATTAATAACCAGTCGCTACTTTTTTTTTTTTAATTGTCATTTGGGTGAAAGTTTGCAGAGCAAATTCACTTTCCCACACAGCAGTTCACACACTTTGTCTCATGACATTGACTACAATTTACCACAATGCAACAGCTCCCCTCCCACTTCCTCCCCTTAGTTACCTCT